ATAATAATAATAATAATAATAATAATAATAATAATAATAATAATAATGATAATAATAATAATACCCCAACCTTAACAATTCCTAGATCCTTTGTTAGGACTCAAGCTGTTGAACTAACAACCAGCCCCAAAGACTGTGAATCTCACTAAAGATTAACCAATAATAATAATAATAATAATAATAATTCAAAAATCACCAATGATGGCTTTGTATCTATAACCCAATAAGCAATCCCCTGTTGACGATTTTCTGATTTTTTTTTACATGTGAAGGGAAATTCCACCCATTTTTGAAAACAGTGAAGGCAAACTAGAGGGAAAGCAATAAGCCAAGGGTCACTGGTTTATTTATTTAACTATTAGGCAACTCCAATCCAAGGGACTATGAGGAACCTACCATATGCAATCGGTACACAGGGTTATAAACAAAACCTCAATATATATACTTCAGTGCATATATTCTCTCAAAGTAGCGTGGCACTCTGAATCTTATTTAGGATATACACATTTGCATTACATTCTTAATTTAATTATTCTCATTAATGCTAATTCATGGCTAACACAAGAGGCATGAAATTTAGCAATAGCAAAATAGCAAGATTATAATGTTTGTTGAAAAGAAAGTTACAAGCGAAATAGATCCCTGAAGCATTTTTAGGCTGAATCATAGCCAAATTATGTTTTACGGGAAAGTGTGCAGCAGAGCTTGTGTTAAGTCAAAGAATTTTATTTTTGATGTGTGACAGCAAAAGACAGGACCATGTGATGTGTTGCCACCCTCAGGAAATTGTCTTGTGGTTAAAGTATCAGGCTATAAACCGGGTAACTGTTCTATTCCTGCTTTTTCATGAAAGCTGGCTGTGTGATTCTGAGCTAGTCATTCTCTCTTATTTGTTGCAGGGAAAATGGGAAAAAGAAGGAGTATTAGGCATGTTCTCCACCTTCAGTTATTTATATACATAAAAAAATGAAGGTAGGAAATAAATAAATAAAATTATACTCTTCCTTGAAAAATTCCTTCTTGGAGAAGGCCTACAGAGAGAAATGCCTTCATCTTATGACTAAGAATACATCAGTTTGTACAAGTTAGAACCAGGCTTTAAGGGCCCATTGTGACCAATCAGCTGAGTATTTTGAACAAACTAAGTTACAACTATACTGCCCCTAAGATATTAGGATCATAATAGACAATAAAGATCATTTATGTTATTATAGGGAGTTTTTTCTACTGAAGGATTCTATGATGGAACTGGACTGTGATGTGAAAAACAGTCTTAGTCACCCTAACTTTTTAAATCAGTTGGGCACCAGAATTTTGGAACTGGCTGTCTCCTTGAAAGATGGTCAGCGTGGCAGAAAACTTTCTAGATACAGTTAGTCCTCAGCTTATGACCACAATTGAGCCCCAAAAGTTCGTTGCTAAGCGAGACAGTTACTGTGAGTTTTGCCCCAATTTACAATCTTTCTTGCCACAATTGGTAAATGAATCGCTGCAGTTAAGTTAATGACATGGATGTTAATAAACTTGTCAGAAGGTCGCAAAAGGTGATCACATGACTTCAACACACCCAGACACTAACTACAGCCATCATAAATATAGACCAGTTTGCAAGCATCTGTATTTTGATCATGTGATCACGGGGATGCAGCAATGGTTGCAAGTGTGAAAAATAGTCATAAGCCATTTTTTCCAGTGCTGTTGTAATTTTGAACTGCCACTAAATGCATGGCTGTAAGCGGAGTACTGCAGCACTTGTATGGAAATGGAGAGCGAGTAAAAGAAAGTAAACACTGAAAAGATATAAAGAATCCACTGAGGTTTATTCTTCTTCTTGTCTTAAACTTTTAAGAGCAAGGATTGAAAACACAAACAGACTTGGAGTCTCAGCGGTCCAAACTAAAATTTTAAATAATGTTCACAATGAGATGTCTAACCAAGGAGATAAACTGACCTCGGAGTAGCACTTTGAGCATAGCCAACTGGGGAATTCTGGGAACTGAAATCCACAACTCTTAAAATTGCCAAAGTTGGCCACCCTGCTCTAGACTTTCCAATATGAAGGACCAGCCTTTTCTCTGCCTGGGCAAGGAACTCAGTCCTAGCCAGGTAGCCCAAAAGGGAGGAGGGGGACTTTGTTTATAGTGGCCCAGTAAGAGTTATCTGCTTTCTATGAAGCCTCCTCTTCATCCTCCTCTGGGATCTGCTGTCTCCCTCAACCTCCTGCTCCAATCCTGCCCCCTTGCACTTGCTCCTTCTTCAGATCAGCCTTTATGTTTAACAAGTGCTCAGATAACGTATAATCAGAGTTGGAAGGGACCTTGTAGGTCATCTAGCCCAACCCCCACCCAGGCGGGATACCCTACATTTCTGACAAATGGCAGTCCAATCTCTTCTTGAAGGTCTCAAGTGATGGCGCTCCCACAACTTCCGAGGGCAAGCTGTTCCATTGGTTGATTGTTCTCACTGACAGAAAGTTTCTCCTCATTTCCAGGTTAAATCTCTCCTTGTTCAATTTCCATCCATTATTCCTTGTCTGGCCTACAGGAGCTTTAGAAAATAGCTTGACCCCTTCCTCCTCTCTGGGGCAGCCCCTCAAATATTGGAAGACCGCTATCATGTCTCCCCTGTTCCTTCTCTTCACTAGCCAAGCCCAGTTCCTGCAACCATTCTTCATATGTTTTAGCCTCCAGTCCCCTCATCATCCTGGTTGCTCTTCTCTGAACTTTTTCTAGCGTCTCAACATTATTCTTTTTTTTGCTGATACTCTGAGGGTGTGGTTGACTCCCGGCAGGCTGGTATTTTCTCTTACCACAGTGAGATCAGGGGCAAAAGGGCCACGGTTGAAAAGGACCATTATTTCTTCATGGCCTTTTCCAGCCTTCTTTCTTTTCTTTTCAAAAGACACTGAGTTCCACTGAGCTCAGTTCTTCGGTACGATGGCTGATCAACAGGCTGGTTTCTCAGAGGCTGGGCAAGCAAATCACGGCTCTCGTTCCGGAATGCCCTTCCTCTTATCGCAAGAGATGAGACTGTTATCTCCGATAAAGCGGAAGCGCTCTCAACTTTTTCTCACGATCGCTTTCTCTCCCCGTGGCTCATGGCCGAGCCCAGAATAAGAGACACTTCATCCCTGCTGCTGATTCTGAACATCACATCCAAAGGGACACTAAATCCCATCTCACAGAGAGAGAGAGAGAGGGAGAGGGAGAGGGAGAGAGAGAGAGAGAGATGAACGAACTTACCCGTGCTCTTCGACCCCATTCCCAGCACGGCTGCCACCACAAGCCATAGGCGCGCCCCTTCCATGCCTCGCCCCAGCTGAGAGCCGTTCCGAAGCGATCCGAGCAGCCATTGACGAGAGCCGAGAACCTCGGGCTGCGGTTGTGGCCTTAGCCAAAACAGTCACGTCACATGACCGGACGGGCTGCAACCGCTCGATGTGCCCAGCCTAGCACCCTCGCAAAAGGAAGCCTTTATTCACATAGATAAATAGAAAGAGCAGAGGAGCATGCTTTTCTTACTGTTTTTCACTTCCGTTTTCCCTTTTCTATTGCGGGAGATTGAACGAGAGCATTGCGCGTTTGCAGGAATGTCAAAGAATATTCAGCTGAATGTTAGGTTGTGTCTTGACAGAGCAATAATTGAGCTAAAATTCTTTGGCCGCTTTGGAAATTCAAAAGAGCTACTCATCTGAGCAGGTGCACATGAGGGAACTACACTTTCTTAGATAGATAGTGCAATGTATAAGTAACATTGGCCTATCGTTGTGTATTTGTCTTTCTTAGGAACACTGCCGCTTTCAGCAGTATAAATCTAAGAAATGGACTGCACTGAGCTGGAAGACAGTCTGATTATAGTATTTCTCAGCCTCATAAGTGTTTTTCTGAATAAAACGGGAGTGGCTGGGTGGGTGGGTGTTTAACCCTGTTAAGTTAAAGGTCGATCTTTGAAAAGAATTATAGAAAATAAAATACAAACTCCTTACTCTTTCTGAGATGGGAGAAGCTGGCAATACACATAGACCCTCTTTTATTAGGGCAGGTGTCAACATGGAATGGGCCAGATAGAATAAAAACAGGTTTCAAACAAATAGATGTTTGAATGGTTAAAAATCCAGACTGTGGGGGTCTTTGGTGCTCTCTCATTGATGATGCTACTTTGGTAATGAAACGTCTGCAAGAAAACCAAGCTGAGAGAGTGCAAGGACACCACAGCTCAATGTTGAGCCTCAAATATTCTCTTCAATCAATCTAGACACTGTTAGTATTATGCTTTTTTTATAAATTCCTAACTTTCTCAAACCATTAGGAGCAAATAGAATATTGTTCCAAATCCTAAATCCTAAATCAGAGATCTAATTAAATCAGCCCCATTCATACTACAGTGGAACCTCGGATTGTTAACACTTCTGTTGGCAACCAAATTGGGTGATGACCAGACTTTTTGCTTCTGTTTTGCTGCTAGTCGTGAACAGACCACGGTGATTTCCCCTTCAGCACCATTTGTTTTTTGTTTTGGTCCATGCATGCGCAGACGGTTGTGCTTCCGGTCATGACCAAATCGGGTTGCGACCATAGTCCTAGAATGGATTATGGTCGTGCCCCAAGGTTCCGCTGTACACATTTACTGATAAGAAAGGTGGCAGGAGTCCCTCCTCTTTTTTGCCACCTTTTGCTGCCTGGAGCTTCTGTAAAGCATTGGCTAAATTTTGACAAATAGTAACTGCTGCTCCTTATGCAAAAACTCACCTGCTATTCAGCCCCATCTTAGTTAAAAAGACTAAGTGGGGATGTTTCTATGATACTAGAAATAATCCTGTTCACCGTTGTAGAAAGTTAGCACCTACCTCTCTCTTAGAAGAATGAAATATTCTAGGAAATATTAAAAAGGCAGAATATTATATTTTCCTGGTTGAGAAAAGGAGAAACATGTTTTTAAAGACAAAGCAGTTTCTTGCAGCTCCCTGCCCCTCCACCCTTCAGCTCCAGGGTGATGAGATTAAGACATGGCCCTCTGGACATGATGGAATAAGCCCTCTACCCATCTCACCACATGGCACCTGGGAAGACTACATCACCCAGCAATATTCAACCATGCTTGGGACTGAAGACAAGGTGCAAAGTTACCCTGCATGGCCCCATGGGAGTCTGACAACCAATCAGAATACATCTCTTGCCACAGGAACAGGAAGTGAGCTCAAAGTCCTCCCTCTCTCATTCAGGTGCTCTTTTTTGCCCAGGACCTCAGTGTGGTCCTGTCCACCATTAAAACCATCTTTCCAAGCAGTCACCATATTTCCTGTGTCTTTCTTCCTACTTGGAACTGAACCCAGAAGGATAATTCTTTCAACAGGAAATTTCATCTGGTGCCAAATGATGTAATCTTCAGCTTGGCAGCTGAAACTGAAAGCTGATAAACAACTTAGATTAGAAAAAAAAAATCTGCACAGAACCTGCCAATGTGAGGTACGTGACTTGCCAGAGATTCAGAATCTACTTGAATAGCTGAGACCCCAAACTCCAACAGCTCTACCAATAATGTTATAACAGCAGATAACCCAACTATATTGGCAGTTCTGAAGACCACACAACATGGACTTGGTTGTTTTGTTGTACTTGATAAGTAGTACGAGTTTTCTTGTATTTTAATTTGGTTTATTTTTCTCTCTTTTAAATGTAATGTTAATAGCTTATCAAACCTTGCGGGCTGGAATGTAGAATGCTTTTTCCTTCTTACTGCAGATTTTATTTATTTATTTATTTTTGTCAATTGCTTACAAGATAATAGGTATAAGTAAAAACATAGTTATGAATACATGGATACATATAAGAAAAATAAAAAATAAAAGAAACAATAGGACAGGGACAGTAGGCACATTAGTGCGCTTATGCACACCCCCTACAGACCTGTTAGGAAAGGGGTGAGGTCAATAGTAGACAGTCTAAGGTTGAAGTTTTTGGGGTTTGGGGAAGAAACCACAGAGTCAGGTAGAGTGTTCCAGACATTGCCCACTCTGTTGCTGAAGTCGTATTTCCTGCAATCAAGTTTGGTGCGGTTAACCTTAAGTTTGTATCTCTTGTTTGCTCTTGTGTTGTTATGGTTGAAGCTGAAGTATTCATTGACAGGTAGGACATTGCAATGTATGATTTTATATACTCTACTTAGATCGGACCGAAGGCGGCATAGTTCTAGGTTTTCTAGGTCTAGAATTTAAAGTCTGGTGGCATAAGGTATTTTGCAACGAGTAGAGGAGTGGAGAACTCTTCTTGTGAAATATTTCTGGACTTTCTCAACTGTGTTAATATCAGATACGTAATGTGGGTTCCAGACTGATGAGCTGTATTCGAGTATTAGTCTAGCAAATGTTTTGTATGCTCTAGTTATTAGTGTAATATTACCAGAGAAAAAGCTTACAAAAAAGGGAAAAAAAGAAAAAGTTACAGTGGGCTCTAGCACTTACTGTAACTACATAGCCAAAAAGGCGTTAAGAGTTGTTAACCTAATCTTACGTAGCTTTTTCTCTGGTAATATTACACTAATAACTAGAGCATACAGAACATTTGCTAGACTAAAACTCGAATACAGCTCATCAGTCTGGAACCCACATTACATTTCTGATATTAGCACAGTTGAGAAAGTCCAGAAATATTTCACAAGAAGAGTTCTCCACTCCTCTACTCGTTGCAGAATACCTTATGCACCAGATTCGAAATTCTAGACCTAGAAAACCTAGAATTACACTGCCTTCAGTCCGATCTAAGTATAGTATATAAAATCACATTGCAATGTTCTACCTGTCAATGAATACTTCAGCTTTAACCATAACAACACAAGAGCAAACAAGAGATACAAACTCAAGGTTAACCGCACCAAACTTGATTGCAGGAAATACAACTTCAGCAACAGAGTGGTCATTGTCTGGAACACTCTAACTGAATCTGTGGTTTCTTCCCCAAACCCCAAAAATTTCAACCTTAGACTTTCTAGGATTAACCTCACCCCTTTCCTAAGAGGTCTGTAGGGGGCGTGCATAAGCGCACCAATGTGTCTACTGTCCCTGTCCTATTGTTTCTTTTTCTTATATGTATCCATGTATTCATAACTATGTTTTTACTTATACCTATTATCTTGTAAGCAATTGATAAACCAAACAAACAAACTGTTTAATATTGATTGATAATCTGGTTTGTCTCTCTGTGGATTCTAAGTAACCTTATGATATTTTTCCTCATTAACATCTTAAATTCTACTCCCACAAGTTCCTTGAAGCTTATTTGAATGAACATATTTAGGATTATGGGGTGTAAATAGGTAACATGTTTGACTTCATGTAACTGACTTCCTATGCAAAGATGAGGATGTGTTTGTCTATCAACTTTCCTTTTGTATTTTTCTTTGATGTGTTAACTATAAAAGATAATGCAAGTTGATACCTGGGGCTTTCTCTTTGCATGAGAGGATTTGCTTTTATCAGAACATTCTGAATAAATTGTAATTAAATGATCTTCCTCTCCCAGATTGCATAATTGGAGAACTGGCATGCTGGGGCATGAACCTAGAGCCAGATTTGGCCATCAGTTCTTACTAAGCAAACATAGTTGATGCTTAAAAGTCTGTCAGGCCTCTTTGAGAAATTTTCCTGAATCAAAACATTGAGGACTTGACGGCTTCCGGTTTGCCAGGCTTCGGCGGCGGTGGGGATTCGCGATCCTGCACGATCCCTGTTGCGCTAGCCGTCTTGGTGCCTCCGATCCAGATAGGTCTGGAGGATAAGGCTGCCCCGTAGAGGCAGCCGAAGATAGGGAGGATCTGGGAAGGGGTTAGGAGGTGTCGCAGACCCCCTCCTCACCCGGCATAACCTCCTTTTCTCAAGGCGGTGGAACAGCGGTCAGTAATGGCCACCACAAAGAAGCCCGCAGCTGGACAAGATTGTGCTGGAGGAAGAAGGAGAAAGAAGAATCAGAAGTGAAAGTGCTGGCTGAGCTGGGAAAATAACAACTTTTAAAACCCTGGAAACTGAATTGTTTGAATTGCCTGAAAGATACATTGCATCCCTAAGAAGATTGGAACTCCGCGGAGAAAGCTGTCAAGGGAAAACTTTTTTTTTCTTCACTCTCCCACCCCATAGAAATAGCAGATGGAGATTTGGATGGATTTCTGAGCATTTAAAGGAAAAGTGTTGGTGTAAGTGGGGGGAGAGGAAAAAAAATTTTTGGAGCAGAACTTGAAAAAGGAGGAGATTGCCTAGAACTTTAAAGAAAGATATATCTTAATGGGAACTCTTTGATCAAACAGTAACCCCAGAAAGAGAAATAGAAGAAAGAAGGGGAAAAAAAGTATTAAAAGAAATAGTTTATTTGGATTTTTTAGTGACTTTGGAACTCTTTGGAATTATTCTTGATTAAAAATACTTGGGTGGTTGTTTTGGAAAAAGTTTTTCTCTTCATGATGGCATTGTTTGTGGATGAACTAAAAATTCAATATCAAAAATATAAAAAAGAAGAGCAAGATGGAAAAGACACTTTGGGCACTCTTTTTCAATTTCTAGAAATGGCAGTATGCACTTATGAAAAACTGACTACGCAGCAGGATGACTGGAATAAAGAAGAAGAAGAAGCCATCTTGGATGAACAATGGGTTTTCTTTGGGGAGGAGGAGAAAGAGGAAAAGAAAAAGGGGATTTTAAGGTCTGAAAAAACAATCCAAAGGGAGAAAAATTAGATGAAAGGTGGATACAAGGTTAGAAAACAACAGAAAGGGGGTAAGCAGAAGAAGAAAAAGGAGGAGGAGAGACAAAGGGGTAAAAAGGGCAAGGAGTAAAATAAGAGAGAAAGGAGGGGATGAGAAGCCTTAATGGTGGGAAGCAAGATTTAAAGAAGCAAAACTTATTTAGAGACAATGGGTAAATCTAATTGAAAAAGGGATTCTGAAGGTACATAAGATTGTGTTTTTATATGTGTATTTAGAGTAAAATGTCTAAGATATAAATGAGTATCAATATATATGATTAGCTTTTTAATGGTATTGATAGTGGTTTATATGCTTTTATTTTGTTATTGTAGTGTTGTTGCTTTTCTCATAAAATTTATTGTGTAATTTTAGAATGTACTAAACAGAATCCCAATATAATGTGTTATATTAAGTATTATTAAGTTACGGGAAAGAGTTAAAGGCGTCACTCCAATCAGTGTACAGGAGAAGTATATTTAAAGAGAAAAGATGAATGGATAGCTGGAAAAGAACAGACAAAGAATGATAAGTATTATGAATTTTATTGAGATAAGATAAATAAAATAACACTAAGAAAGATAAAAGAGGGAAGAAGCTATATAGAAAATTGAAAATGGTAATAAGATATGGATTGATATATAAAGTAAATATGATTTTTGAATTTATGTCTGTGTGAAGAGTTTTAACCAGGGATCAAGCAGCTTTCAGAAAATATGTTTTATGTTTTTTATGTTTTATGTTTTGTATGTTTGTGTATTGTTTTTGAAAGGCAATAAAATTTTAATTAGCAAGAAATATAATTTGGATAATAGAATGAAAAGGGATAAGATATGAAGTTGAGCAGATAACGTAAATATATATATTACAATTTGGAACTACTTTGTATGTTCTACTGGTTTTCTTAGAAAAGGTTTTTTATATTATTATGCCTTGATTGTTTGTGTATTGTTCTGTAAAGTTAATAAAATTTGTCTTAAAAAAAAACCATTGAGGACTTGACAATATGTTTCTCAAAGACAACGCATTATTTGGGGAGAAACTGAAGGGTGGGCTGTTAGAAACTGATGGGGCAAATAGCACTCAAATAAAGGCAGAGTTGATTATACAGCAAGCAACTCCTTAGTAATAAAGTCACTTCAGTGAAGGGAAGCTCCCCTTCCAGAAGGAAGATACAAACTAATCAAGTTGCCCTTTTTATAGGCAAGCTCCATTATAAATGGATTTTTTGGATTAACTTCCCTAAACTATTACATTGTAAAAGGAATTCTTAGATATTCATATTACGCTATCATTTGGCTCCTAAATGCTAATTTTTATAAGAGATTAGTACTTCATCCATTTCATATGCCAAGAAAATCCTCCAGATATGAAGGCTGGCTAGGTATCAAATATACAGCTTCTGACAACTTGTGGGAAACATTATATCCTAGGCAGCTGGAAAGTACCTTAGCCCAATACCTTCATTTTTAAGTAGGGAACCAAAAATGGAAACAGAGACTACCAATTACCATTCAGTATCCATTGGCCTAAGAAAGGGGTAACTCTTCCAAAAACTCCCTCAATAGGAAGGGGAATTTAGACTTAGAAAAGAACATGGAAGTGTCTTTTAAAATTTACAGGAGTTTCAAGCCAATGCTATAGGAATGACAACTGCTGCCCTTATACAACTGGAGCAAGAGAATTCCTAATCAGTGGGACAGTAAGGAATCTGTTATAATTTCTCTTTCTGAAGAGAAATGATGCCCTCATTGAAATCCTCTGGAGAACTCTGATGCATAAGCCTATGTTCTCTCTAATGGGAAGAAGAATCAAATATGAAGAAGGGAAACTGTTACTTGCCTACTACCTTCACCCAGTCCCTGGAGTTTTTAACTTGGGGGCATTTATAAATATGGACCATTCATAACTGAATTCACAACAGTAAATGCCAATACGGCTCCGTCAGAGAATAATTTATTGAGCATACCAGTTAGAAGGGAAGAGGCCTCCTTGCTTCCTAATATTCAGCACAGACAATCTTCCATGACAAACTATCATGGCTTTGTGTCTTTGGAGCCAACTAGTGTAATGAAAAGTGCAGTGGTAAAGGAATCAACCTTCTGAATTCTTTTCCAGATAAGGATTTCATATTGCCCAGATGCTCTCTAGGACAGGGCGTTAAAGTAATGGTCTACAGCAGGTTTGAGAGTTCCGGGAGCTGGCAGAAATAGCTTTGTCCAAGCTATGGTCAAAGCCTTTCATAAGGAGACTGGTGCGCCCATCTTTCCTCTTAACCACTTTTATTGGAGATGGCTATTAAATCAATTTTTTGATATGTAAGTTTAAAACTTAAAGAATAACTTGTTAAAATTTGGAAATAAGCAGCGAAAGTTATTAGAATGTTAATTTTGGAAAGATTTTAACTGGACTAAGGGGCCAGATTGATTGAACACAAAACAAGTTATATTTCTTTTTGTTTGTTTAAAATCCTATTAAAGTACATGAAATACTGAGTTTAAGTCTAAGAAATATCTTCTTGGGAAATATTCTGGATGAGAGAAAAACATGATGAGAGGACACCTTGAAGGATACTTATTACAGGCAACCAGAAAGACTTAAACTTTGTAATTAAACAATCCCCACTAACAGAGAATGGAGTAAAATATTTTAACTCTGCAAGAATTTAAAGATATTTGGCAACAAGATACCCAGCACTTAGTCTTTAGACTTTCTGATTAATAAAAGTGGACAAAAGAAGAGATAGGAGATATAACTTGAAAATCAGGCTTTTGGAATATGGATTTAAAACTACAGGATCTAAAAATGATATTAACAAAGATGTTATACCATATCAACAAATGAAACTGGCTATCGTTTCATTAGTTAAAATGGATATACAAATAATAAACCAGAAGAATGACATGGATACATGGATCTTAAACTCAGTAACGGTGAGTCTGGCAATTTTTTTACTTTGGATTTACAAATACTTTTGTAAAGTATTTTGACATACTTTTGAAGGAATCCTTGAGAAAAGCAAAAAATAGAGGAAATGTTTTTGAGATATTACCTAAATGAATAAGCAAGACCTTTAAAACTAAAATGAAGGTTTACAAAGTGGGCCAATTGGATCAAAATTAAATTGCATATGATCCCATCTTTTCTGAAAGTTTTTAATGTTTTTTTCTTGAGTAGAATTGAATGGTGAGGCTTTAAAGATTTGTTTATGGGGACGATATGAGAAGAAGAAAGCTTTATTGTATTTTTAGAGAGTGTCATAAGATATATTATAATCAAGATGAAAAAGATAAGAAATTAATTTGAGAGGCAATATTTGAAGGGCTTAAAGGTTAATATTTTCATTTTTTCCCTAGTAGCTCTTAATGGAATTTTTTTTAATTGATAAATTAATAAATTTGATGAAATTAAAACATTTGTTTATAAATATAAGGAAGAGGTTCTAAAGAAAATGAGAGGTTAAAGTATAAAATACAAGAAAGTATTATGAAACTTATGAAAGGTAGCTATGGTTTTTTATTATGCTTGGTTGATGGGTAGATGCTTGTTTTCCTGATTCATCATGATCTCTCTCTCTTTCTGAACAAAAATTAAAGTAAATAAAACGCAAACAAAAATCTACAAGAATACTTTTATTTTTGTTAAATGCTCTTCAAAATAATAGAGTAAATATTACTGAATAAAGTATATTCAGAATATTTTAAATGTTATACTATTTTCATAACTTGAATTTGTTTGCTTATTACATTTTATTCTGAAATTAAGACTTTAATATAAATAAATTTCCAAAATACAAAATCATATACAATTTTTATCAAGTAAAAAAATTCCACTATTAATGACTTAATAATGTGCAAAGTCATTTTGTAAGTTCCAAGAAGTTCCTTAAACTAGTACACTATATTATTCCCAAGTTTCAAACATGAAGCAAAGTTGTACAACTTGAAATTTCTTTAGGTCTAATGGTGTCTTCTTGAGATCCCTGCAGCTCCTTTTTTATGTTGCTCGTTTTATTTTCCGATTCACTATTACACTGTTTTGACTCCTCCGAAAGAACAGTAAGTGTATCATAATTATGAACCTCTTCCTGTGACTGGGATTCAAGAAATTGTGAACTATGGTAAGGATGGCTTAAAAACTGTGGATGAAGACAAAGAAACAGATTAGAAATAGCCATCTTCTTTTGACAAACATTTTAAATCAGAATGTCCCCCACCGGAAGTCCCATCCCAGAGGATTCAGCCAGTTAGATTCCAATGTCACATGTTAAAAAACTCACAATTAAAAATCACCTATCGGACATTCATTGCAAAACCACCCTCTTTTGCTATGTCAGCACATCTGCAAAAAAACCCTCAAATTGCGCAATCATGAATCTTGCCAAGCAAGTCAAATGAATAAATAGTTGCTCATCCACAGAAAATGGACTCAGCGCAATCGTTTTGAGTTCTACTCTCTCACTGAGTGCAGCTTTTCCCAAACTTTTTACCCTGGAGGAACCCTTGAGATAATTTTGAGATCACAAGGAACCCCTGCATAAAAATTGTAAAAAACATGAAGATTTTGCAACACAATTCAATTCTAACCTATATAATCCACATTTTATATTTACAACAACAGTAAAGTACTAGGTCTGAAGCTGAGACAGGGTGCATAAAAATTTCAATCACTGAAAGTGCTAGCATTGGCAATTCATGAAGTCAAAAAATAATGTTAATTTTTTTTTCCAACACAATCTCTCATGGAACTTCTTGGGACCACTCAGAATCCTGTTTAAGAAAGACTGCACTAATGGATGATATTAAGCAGGGAGTAGAAATCAGGAAGTCTATTTGTGCTTCTCTATTTTGAGCTGTACTTCTCAGTGGAAAGAAAAGCAAGCACACTCTTCAGTGACTAGGGCAAGAATCAGCTATTTTTTTTCAGGTCACAAAAACTCCTGCAGAATCTTACATGGTAGAACCCTTCCCAAATCTCATAAGTAATTTCAAATGAAGATTTGTGAGAACACTTGGCTGACAACACAAAAATAATACAGGATTTTTATTTTAAAAAAACAATTAATACCAACTATTTTAGCTGTTCTAGAAAGTTTCCCTTTTATCCAAAAGATTCAGCTGCATCTATTCCAGTAATATTACAGTGTTCTTGGAGAGCATTTTGTAGCTCTCTAGAGCAGCACACAAATTTTAAGATGTGTAATTTCAGTTCCTACAGAATTCTTCAGCCAACATAGCTAAATTCTTAAAAAGCATGTCTGGCTGGGAATTCTGGAAATTGAAGTCCACACAAGTTAAAGTTGCCAAGTTTGAGAAATACTGTTGTAGATCAGGAAGATGAAGTATGTAATTCCCTGTTCACTTTCAGTTTAATATGTTATGCTAATGTCACTGTGTAATATATCAATAAAATAATGGGTTATTTTACCTTGCTACCTAAAGACTGTATGCTAAATCAGATGACCAAAATTATCAGCACTACAGTTTAAGTGGATTTAAATTAAGCAAAATCACAGGGAGGTTTACATCTTTGACCATGAAACCAGAATTGTTTGCTCAAGGTTTGTTAACTGTGACACTTCAGAACAACATTCATGGGCCATTCTACTTAAGTATGCATCACATTCTGTTTTGTAAATTATACCAATTATTTTTATTTACGTACTTACACATACAAACACACATGGTGAGGAATATACAAACCTGAATGAAATGTTGTGGTAAATAATATGAAGGGAAAAAGGAATGTTTGATCCGGTGATAATTATGACCAATCATAAAACCACAGAAAACAATGAATGCTGCTAGGATAATAACCATCACTATTACTGGACCTATCCCTACAAGGAAGAAAAAAACAAACCTGTTCTATGTATTTTTTGTGGAGCATATGATATATATATCTTGAAATCCAATATCTTTCATTTCATAATTATTAACAGTGACAGCATTATATCTAATGTTAACTGCAGAGAAGAAACAACAACAGGTTGTATGCTGGCTTTGCCCTATTGCAAAACTCAAGATTTAAATTTTTATTTATTGTTACAATTTAGGTTTCAAAATTATTTCCATAGAACACACAAGACAGCTAAAGGTTTCAAAAGGATACTTGCAGTGGGTTATATCTTATTTATTTGTTCAGTTTATATGGTAGCCCACTCAGTTAATGACTCTGGGCACTAACAAGATTTAAAGGAAATAAATGAACAAGACAATAAAATAATAAAATGTACTGCACCAGGGACAAAATGCAGAGCTCATTGCAGTCAGCTTATATATCATTCTGGCCCAGTGTCAACTGGAAGAATCAGATCTTCAGAGCCTTCTTAAAGACTGGTGAGGTTGGGCTCTTACCTACTATATTATTACTATTAATTGTTTGGGTACAAGTGGCTTCACTCCACTCTCCAGGTTTATTCAATTCTTCAGTAAATACTTGAGCTTTAACACAATATGTTGTTCCAGTATCTAGCCCAGATATTACATGAAAAGTGTGTGGTGTAGTCACGTTGATAACCTAATTGGAAAGAAACAGAAAATCACAATATAATCAAGTCATAGGAGCTTTATTTTCAATTGACAGTATCCATACATTTCTACTGCTAAAGTTCACAACAGCCTTTCCTAACACAGATATATGTCTAAATCAAATTAGACTTTCTCAACATGTTGGTTAGGGAATTCTGCATCTTGAACTCTACACATCTGAAGGGTGCCCAGGTTAGAAATCCTGTTCCAAAAATATGTCAACTCATGTTAATATAGTAACTCTGTAGTCACAATGATGAAACATTGAAAAAACATGCTACAACAATACCATGTCATTCTTGTAGCCTGTCATTTTTAAATACACTTTCAAGTCAGTCTCGTCAGGTGTTTGTTTTATGAAACACGTTGTGTAGAGGAAGCCACTATTAAAATAAATATCTAAGTCCATTGTTCAAAAATATCCAATGTTTTGCCCAGCATTTTGTTCCAAGTTGAGTTTGAATGTACTTTGCCTTTAGTTGCATCTTTAGTTCCTTCTAGTTGCCTTTCATGTCCAATTTTCCAAGTCTTACCTCATTTAAAACAAAAGAAAAGAAAAGCATTTTCCCACAGGAAAGATTTTTTATAATTAATTCCATTTTTTTTATTTCAAATTTATCTGAACCTTTAGTCTATTTGTAACTTTCTAAAATCAAAATTTTAATCACCCGTTTGCTGTTTATTAAGAAAAAAAGCAGAATTTTTCTCTATTTATTGTATATAGAAAGGTATATTTAAGCATCAAAGAAGCCCATTTCTACATGTCATCAAATATTACCTGTTCACTAGTGTTCATCCAAATTTTTATCTTGTAAACTACTGAGCCGTAAAAATCCTTCAAGGAATATCTGATACCATTAAGTATAACAGGAGGGCTTTGGAGATGAATATCCAAGACTCCAGGGTTTCTGAGTATAATTTGTACAATAGGAGGTGTAATGATTGCTAAATGAGTTGAAGGAAAGAAAAGAAGATACTTATTTTTACTCTTTCTCTAATCCATTTAAATATACAGCTTGACATATAACCATCTTCTTTCCTATTTATTCATTTAAAAATTTTAAATGTAGTTGTAATATTTTTTCATACCGACATAGCAACAAATTAATATTCCTGTGTTTTTCCTTATATTTTACCCCTATGTCTACCTGTCATTTTTGATCTCTGTTTCATTTTTATAAAGATGCTAAGCAGCAGTCCTGAATGGTGAGGTTTATTAAACAGAAAGGTTTTGGCTCCCCTGTTTGTGACTGAATTCTGCTGCATATGTGAAGGAAAGTGCATTTAAAAAATGAACACATGATTAGAAGACTTAGCTCCCTCCAACCATAGCACACCTCAAATGTAATTATTAATACTAGCTTTAGAAAAATAATCAGCAAATGACTATCAAACCAAACCCATAATGTCATAGCTTCTCAAAACACGGTGAGAAAAATGCATAGAAAGAATTTTTTCCTGACTTCTGGTGACGTTGCAGCATGGCGAGGTAGGAGAACCTTGATCTGCTCTCCTAGAGTGGGGTTTTTGCTCATGGGCAGCCGTTCGAGGCGAAGTTAGATCCTGGTGGGATCACTAGAATGAGGAAGAACTCTTGGAGCCAAACAGGAAGTGCAATCCTGGAGGTGAAGAAGGGAGCCCGAAGCACAGGGCAAAAGAAGTCAGCCAGCTAGGCTGGCCCAAAGACGTGATGAAACAACTGTGAGAAGGAAGCGGAGAGACGAGATTGAATTTGGAGTCCAGGAAAGAGGTCGAAAGGAATCGATGTTGGATTATAACTAATAGATAAATCTGAAAGGTAATTGATACGTGTGTGAAGTGCCGGAGGGGAAGGAGGAAAGTAGAAAGTGGCTGCAAGACTGAACTGTTTACCCATAGCTCCGGATAAAGTGAAAAATTGCTTTTAAAGGGGAAGTGGAAAGGAAAGAAGAGTGACTATTGATGAGGAAAGTTTTGTATTTCCAGTCACATAAATATACCGCAGAGAATATTTTACAGCGGAGAAGAATTGTGAAACTTTGAAATTTTTGAATGAGGAGTGACAGTGCAATTCGTGGAGGCAGACATTGTGACAGGGAGAGCAGAGTAAAGTGGCAGGGGTACCAGACTGAACTGAGAACTGAGAATTGAGACTCGAACTTATTTCTGGATACAGTCGGATTACTAAGGAAACACTAGGAAAAAAGGAGATTGTAAATTCTCTCCTCATTGAGTGTTCGTTTTGTTCTCTTTTTTTTTCTTCCCTCAAAATTGATTGGAACGGTATAATCTCACTTTCTATTTACTTAAGGTATACATTTAATTAATAAGAAAACAAGATTGGTTACTTTGAAATGGGTATTAATTTAAGTAAGTAATATTTAACCCCTTTGGAGTATATTTTATATTTCTCTTTTCTTTTACTCATTACATATATTTGATTGACTATAGATTAATGACTTTAACATATTGATTAATATAAAGATGAGAAAATTAATTGTTCTTTCCCTCTCTTTCTCCTATCCTCCTTATATTAAATACTGTGAATTACTGAAATATATATATATATGGATCTTTGGTTGTTCGGGTTTTCTCCCACGTAAGATTCGAAGTATCTAGGCAACGTTTTGATGAAGTCTCATTCATCATCTTCAGGCTTCTGTCTCCGGCTCTGTGCTTCTCAGAGTAATGTGAGATTGCAGCTGCTTCCTCCTTTTAACTGCCAGTGGGGGTGGGACTTGATTGGGTGGGGGCTTGGCTGTGTTCTGATTGGGTGGGGGTGTGTTCTCATTGGTAGGGGGTTTGGCTGTGTTCTGATTGGTTGGGGGGTTAGCCGTGTTCTGATTGGTTGGAGGCGTGTTCTGTTCAGGTGGGGGCTTGGTTGTGCTCAGGTTAGTCTTAGTTGCTGGGGGATTTGAGCTGGTAAGTTGTGATCTTGCTGTTTGGCTTCGAGTTCGTGGTCCTTCTGCATCTTCATAGTGGGTGTCGGTTTGCTTCATGTATGGCTCGGAGGGGTTTGAAGTGGGTAGTGATGCAGCTGCTGTGCAGCTTCTGGTCCATGGTCGTGTCTCATCTTCTGAGTGGGTGGGAGTCTGTTTTCTACATGGAAGTGTGGTGGTGGCATCTTGTGTGGCTCTCATGGGTGTGGGTCTGGTGTCCTTCTTCATGTTAGGTACTCATCTGTTCATGAGGGCAGGTTTCCAAATGGCTGGAAGGCGGGAGGTGTCATCTCGTTTGTTCATGCTGTGTGGGCGTTTTTCTATCTCTATGGCTTCTCTGATTATTCTGCTGTTGAAGTGTTCGGTTTTGGCGATAGTTCTGGTATTTTTAAAATCAATTTCATGTCCTGTGGCTTTGAGGTGTTGGACCAGGGAAGAGGTCGTTTCTTCTTTTTTGATTGAGTTCTTATGTTCTTCAATGCGTGCACTTATTCTTCTGTTAGTTTGTCCAATGTATGTGGTAGGGCAGGCAGTGCAGGGGATTTCATATACTCCTTGGTTTTCTAATTCGATTTTGTCTTTGGGGTTTCTTAGGATGGTGGATATTTTTCTGTTTGTGCAGAATGCTGTTTTGATGTTGTGTTTTTGGAGGATCTTGCTAATTTTGTCTGTAGTGCCTTTTATATATGGGAGGAGGGCTTTGCCGTTTTCTTGTTCTCTGTCTTGGATTTTGGTTGGGGTTTCTTTTTGGATTAGGTGGGTAATCTTCTTTCTTTGGAATCCATTGGCTGTAAGTACGTTGGTGAGAGTGTGTAGTTCGGTTTTTTGGTGTTGTTCATCGGCTAAGCATTTTGTTCTGGAGATGAGTGTCTTGGCTACGGAATTGATCTGTGCTGGGTGGTGGTGTGAGAGTGCATGTAGATAGCGGTTAGTATGTGTTTTCTTCTGGTAGATGGTGTGTCCTAGGGAGCCATTGGATCTTTTGTATACCAAGACATCTAGGAAGGGAAGTTGGTTGTTGGCTTCTGTTTCCATGGTGAATTGTATTTTGGGGTGTAGGCTGTTGAGGTGTGTGAGGAAGTTGTTCAGTTTTTCTTTCCCATGTGGCCAGATTATGAAGGTGTCATCTACGTATCTGAGCCAGAGTTTGGGTTTGTGGTCGTATTTTTCTAGAGCTTGTGTTTCAAAGTGTTCCATGTAGAGGTTAGCGATGACAGGTGAGAGGGGTGATCCCATGGGTGCTCCTTCTATTTGTTTGTATTTTTGTCCATTGTAGGTGAAGTATGTATTGGATAGGCAGTGGTTGGTTAGATCTAGGATGTGCTTGGGGGGGTTGTATTTGTTTTGGATGGCTGTCAAGGCTTCTTTTATTGGCACTTGGGTGAAGAGGGATATGACATCGAAGCTTACTAGTAGGTCGCTAGGTTGTAAGTTTTGTTTCTTTATGATCTCGATGAACTGGAATGAGTTTCTTACGTGTGAGTTGATGGATTCTGCATAAGGTTGTAGTTGTTTGGCGAGAAATTTGGTTAGGTTTTGTAGAGGTGAGCCTATGGAGCTGACTATTGGTCTGAGTGGGGTTCCTTCTTTGTGTATTTTGGGGAGACCATAAAGCTTGGGGCATCTGGATGATTTTTCTCTGGGTATGATTCGTTGCTGGATTTCTTCACTGATGGGGGAGGCTTTTATTTTGGATTTGGTAGTTTTTTCTAGGTAGGTGGTGGGGTCTGTCTTTAGGGGTTTGTATGTGGGGTCTTGGAGTAGGTTGGTTAGCTTGGTTTGGTAGTCAGATGTGTTCATAACCACTGTCGCATTGCCCTTGTCTGCTGGTAGGATTATTATGCTGGTGTCTTCTTTCAGGTTAAGTAGTGCAGTTTGTTCTTCTTTGGATAAGTTGCTTTTGGGTGGTTTGCTAGTGCAGAGGATGTTGGTGATTTCGAGTCTGATTTTGTTAGCATCATCAGGGTTGGTTTTGGTCAGATCCACATATAAATACCCGCGAGAACCTCAGAAAACATATATATATATGGTATTCAGCTTTGTTCGGGTATTTTCCCACGTCATTATAGTTGTGCTTTTAGAGTTGTAGCAACATTTCGGCAGAATCTCATCTGCCATCATCAGGCTTCTGTATAGTGTTCGTCTGTGAGTCAGACTTTCACAGCTGTTTCTGTTTTAAATTTGGTGCTAGCCTCCTGCTGTGCCAGAATGGTTTTTTCTTCATCCTTTTTTCTTCATCAGGATGAAGAAAAAACCATTTTGGCACAGCAGACCCCCCTGATACCTCCAGCTCAAACACACCCCAACCAGGCACCCAGATGAAACCTAGCTTCGTAATAAATGATAGCTGTCCGTTTACTTGGAGCCAAGCCGCACTAAAAGCCTCCAATACAGGAAACACAATGTTGCCAGCCAATCAAGACAAAAAAAGCTACAAAACAGACAGAAGATATTAGAAACACCAATCAAGCAGAACACAGCAAACTCCAAGACCAATAAACACAGACCAAGACTCCCAACCAATCAGGATGAAGAAAAAACCATTCTGGCACAGCAGTAGGCTAGCCCCAAATTTAAAACAGAAATGGCTGTGAAAGTCCGACTCACAGACAAACACAATACAGAAGCCTGATGATGGCAGATGAGATTCTGCCAAAACGTTGCTACAACTTTAAAAGCACAACTATAATGACGTAGGAAAATACCCGAACAAAGCTGAATACCATACATACAAATACCCGCGAAAACTTAAAAAAACAAATATCAGACCTCTATGGGGAGGAAATAAACAGCCAGACCAAAACTTATGAGAAGCTGGAAGTTAAAAGAGCAGGAATACTATGTGACCTCAAATTCCTACGCAGCTGCAGTGACAACAATGCAACCACGACCTGCTTCAAATTAACATTTCATCACAGCACAGCAGCTACTAAACATATCCTGAAAAGAACTAAAATGGCTCTACTCAGGAATGAGCTCCACAGAAAGAGATTCCAACTCAATCAGTTAAACAAAGATCTCCTAATT